TTCTGCAATTCTGAGAACAGTTCACCCATCAGTAAACACTGCAGTGTTTTTATGGGGTTTTTATATTGGCAGTACAATCTAGAAAATAAATGCCTCTTGTTTGAGTCATAATCCAGATTAGGATTTTGTTGTCTTTATGTACAGCTAAAACAGTTTTGCCTGCTGTCCTTACTCTTCATCCCATTCGGTTCTTCCAGGATCCCACAGCCTTCTAAACTGATTTATCTGGTTTGGGTTTGTGAACTGCTCAGCTACCTGGAATCACAAACGTCACAGCGATTGCTATCTTTCAAGTACTTGTTGATATTTGCCTCTCTGATGTGCTTTATCAGCATCTTAATGTGTACGTTCGCATACTCCTTGCTGCTTGATTCACTATAATAATTTTTTCCTCTATGCTGCCTGAATTTTCTGATGTGAAAAAATACTTCATTTGAGACCCCTGAGTTTCTACCACTTCTTCGTGACGTTATATACAAAATACATACATACCAGCCTTTAACTTCCCTCAGAGCAGTATTTTGAGAGGTCTTCTTGCCCTCAGTTCAGGTGCTTTCCTGGGTGGCTGGATGTTTGCTTGCTGCATTTGAGATGAAGCTTGAATTTTAAACAAGGTAGATTGTAATCTGAATTTCTGTCTGGACCTTGTGGTGTTTTTCTTGGACGAGAACTCTAATTTTCTCCTATTTCTGCACAATGATACAATCAATCGGCTGATCAGAAGAGGTACAATTCCATTTTCCCACCCCGTAATGGTGAAATAAAGATTTGCAAGGATAAAACAAGATTCTCAAAGCAGAGCTCAGTGAGTCACTGTCCTCATTTGTTGATCTCACTCTCTCCCATCGCAGCACTGATCGATAACAACTTTTCCCCCTTCTAGACTGAAAGCCCATGTTCTCAGCGGCGCGTTGTATCAACAAGTCTTGTGTTTGTCTGTTGAGCTCTTCAGTTGCACCAGCCAGGGATCCATTTCTTTGCAGGGCACGTAAGAACAAATCCTGCTTGCTTTCAGATGACAACACTTTCAGATTACCCTGTTTAATTTCATTCTTTATATAGGCACTGATTTTTAAGTGTGTTACATCTGGGTATAGGCTTCCCCTGGATGTAACCTGTGTAGGATATAATTGTAAATTATCCAGACTGTCTACAAAGCCACTTCAAAAAAAAAAAAAAAAAAAAAAGTTATCATTTCTAGGGTTATTCTTGGTATAGGAAGAACATTCAAAATCTTTGTACCTAACTTACAATTCCATTTCATATTGTTTGTGGAATTATGTCTTTGTTTCCAGGTTGTCACATAGACTCTGCGTTTCCTTAAATTATAGTGGTTCCTGTTGACGTTGCCCTCTTATTAACGAGGATTGGGTTTATCGGCAAGAAGTTAACCTGCTCTGAATTCACTTCTACATCTGCCAGTCTGTAGTTACTGAAAAGATTTTCTTTTCTTTTATTTTGCCTCCTCTTTTCCCCTTGGCTAGTTCAGCGTTTTCAACCATTTTCCTTCTTTTCAAAGGCTTATGCCTGAGGGATTAAGATCTACATTCGTTTAATATCGGGAATAAAGTGGAAGTTCCAGACTGCAAGGCTAAAACTTGAAGAAGGATCTTTGTAGAGATTAATATTTTCCTGAGCAACCTGTGAGCTGAATCATGGTCTAATTAAATAGCACAGAGTTTGCATTTAAACACTAGCAGACCCTAGAATGAGTAAAGTTGAAATAAGTTTGAATCTTTTCTGTGAATGGGAAGTTAAATTATCATAGTGATTTGATTAAATAATTTTGAAATCTTTTGAGCTAAATCACCATTTTAAAAGAACAGTTTGAAGCTTTAATCACTGTTCAGAAGTGCCCCTCTGCTATTTTTTCTTACCCCGTTTCCCGTAACAAAATCTGTTTCCCAAGCCACAGCTTCCTAAGCTGCTCCATGAACCACCATTTGGCAGCAGAGTGCTTGCATCAGGCCAGTGGAGAGCTGGCTGGTCACGTTCTTCCCAGCTGCTAAATTGATTTCAAAGACAGCAACAAATACATTAAATGCTTTACTAGTATTACTTTTCCCTGTAAGCAATTGCTCTGTTTACCGGAGAGATGGTATACAATCACCCCTGCAGGGAGAGGATAAGGTCCCTTGTTTTAAGATGTCCACACAGTGGAAGAATTTGAGAGCATGGAGTGTAACAGCCGTATCAGAGGGCAGGTTTTGATTCACCTTCCGTTCTTGTGTTTTCTGGGGGTGCTCTCGTCCTCTTTTCCCTCCTCACTCAGCTTCTGTGTAAGAAATATGTAGAGCATATATATTGCTAACACTGCCGGCCAAATTGCTCTCCAAACTGCAGGGCTGAAGATCTCAGGGAAGTTTCATCTTTGTGCAAAAAATAATACATTAAGTCTGGACTCCATCCCTGTATTTGCAAGTTCAAACACGGTCACAGTTACAAATGCTGATTCTGGGAAAAATCGGACCAGTTTTGCAGAGAGTTAAAAACTAAACATTTATAGTCACATTCTCCAGAAAGACCTGTGTCTCTACGCAGTATGGTGTAAAAAAAGATTCACAAGAACTTGGCAAGACTTTGACTTGCCAAGCATTTTGCTGCTGCTAAAATGCTCCTGTCTGGTTCCCCAGCAAATCTGGCCCTGGCACCGTGGGTCTGGGGAGAGGAGGAAAAAGATGTGTAATTTCTGCACAAACTGTGCATGGTCTATAGGAAAATTATCTGGAGTAGCGCATCGTGTGTTCTACAGCACAACAGTGAATATCCAAGGACTTGCTAAAGGGTCAGGGAGTAAAGACGATGATAAGCCCGGTGGTTGGACACTGTGCTTAACGTCAGGCACGTTTGTATGCGTGTGTGAGCATGCCTGTATCGATAACATCTGTTTGTAGGACACAGAATTCCGGGATTTTCTCTTACTGACACAGAATTATTTAATAGAATTGCCATATTAGAAAACTATCAAAATGTATGGATTTGGGGAATGGCCTCACATTAATTGGAACTAAATTTTGCTAGAGGTAATATTTCCCTGTCATCATTTCTAAAATGTTGGAGTTTTCTTTTTCCCTAGGACAGATATTTTTGCATATCGCCACTTTCAGCACAGTGCACCTTGATGTGCAGTATCCCATCCCTGCAGCCTGTGTCTTAACTGCATGCTTCTTAGAGCATGTATTCGCTAAGACTCCAAATTATTAAACATGTAAAATTCCCATAGGACTCCATTATGTGTAATTAACAGATAAACTGTCATCAGAATCAATAAAACGTGCTAAATGATCCAAACTTGTATATAATTAAGTGTCTGTTTTAGAGCAGGAGCTGTAACTTTTTTTTTTTTTCTTTTCAATTTCCACATTTGTTTTGACAATAGAAGCTGGAACATTTTTGTTAACCTGTTACTTACTGGTTTGTGTTTTGGTTTACATGTTTGTGTTTGAAAAGAGAGAGGTATTTACTATCTGGCCTAATTATCTGAGGAAATAGTTGCACGTCAGCTTTTAGGAAATGAATCTTAGATGCATTTTAATTCTCTGAATGTAATTCAGGCATTTGAAGCACGTGCAAAATTTGATGTTGTTATCATCAACAAGGTAAAACATAAGGCTCTGTCAAAATAGTGATCCAGGGCATCAGACTGCTTAATACAGTGCCTGGATACGATGATAGAACTGGGTTCTTCACCATCCAACTCCCTGGAGCTTTGCCTGGAAACAGGAGCTTTATTCCAAACCCCAAAATTAAGATGCAAAGCAGTGTTGTACTAACTAGAGTTTTCAAGGATGTACTTTAATAATGCCATGTCCCAGTTTCACCCCAGCTTGCACAGTGTAGCCTATCCCTAGGTCTTGTACCCCCTCGCAGCACTTATATGGTGTTTTATTGGCTCTGGAAGGCTGTGGACCCTCCAAAATTTGGTAGATGATAGGGGCTGTTTGGTGGCCTCCTACACTCCTATGACTTCTTCCTTACTTGCATTCACCTCACTTTGGACCACATCAGGGTATTTTTGGCATTTATGACTACATAAAAGTCAGAGAATTAGGGCTGCTCGTCCAAAGTCATCTCAGCACGGTCCAGTAACCGCATGCTCTCAGGGACATCTTCCCTTTCTGTATCTATGCCGTTGAAGGTTTTACAGTTATTTCAGTTAGATCTCTTCTTTTTATTTCACACTTCCATTGCTTTAATCTTTCCGGGTCATGTAGCAGTTTAGTTTGGTTCCTCGTGTGTGTTCTGTCTAGGCTTGTCACTCAACACTTACACCACCAAAACATCTCACCTGGAAAGGTACAGGGCAAGGTGCTTGCTTTGAGTGATTTAGAAAAAAAGCAAAACCCCAACAATACCAAGATAAACCACCCTCTGAGTGGGTGAGAGAGAAAGATTACACCTTGTAGGAGATGTTAGCTTCACAGAGCAAAAGCTGTTCAGGAACATATTAAGTTGTTGCCTGTCTAAATGTGCCCGAGGGAGAAAAAAATTGCTAAACCCATCAGGAAATCACATCAAACCCGCTTTTCCCTTGTGTCAGTGCAGTGGTCCTAATCCTGCGATTAGCGTCCCTGAGCAGTGGGTAACGACCATGGCTTCCAACTCCGCAGCCTTGGGACCTGACACAGAATTTTACCGAGCTTTTCCATAGTAGGGCAGTCACTCTTGCTTCCCTGATAAAACACAGGCCTCCATTCATACAGCCCTTTGGCACCGTCATTTCTTCAAAGCAGTGACTGTGAGAGACCGTTTATGGAGCAGCGAGGGTGACCGTTGGACTGGTTGAGGAGGATGAGGAGAAGGATTACTGACACAAGAGTTAATTAGAAATTTGTAGTTGCACAGGGGTTCCAGACATTTTCCTGAAGGTCAATATAGAAATTATCTTCCTTCTTTGTGAAGGAGGATGGACAGAACCAGTGAAAGCGTTGTGCAGCCATCGAGTTACCTGACTGCTGGCACACCAAACTGAACCCTCCTGTTGCTCCTTTGTTTTGCAGACTCGATGCACATAGAGGATGTTGAGGCAGTGCAGAAACTTCAGGACGTCTTACATGAGGCTCTGCAGGATTATGAGGCCGGGCAGCACATGGAAGACCCACGTCGCGCAGGCAAGATGTTGATGACTCTCCCGCTTCTGAGGCAAACCTCCACCAAGGCAGTGCAGCATTTCTACAACATCAAACTGGAAGGCAAAGTCCCCATGCACAAACTTTTTTTGGAAATGCTGGAGGCCAAGGTCTGACTAAAGCATCATGGGCTTTCCCATCATGCACGTTTTAAAAAAAAAAAAAAAAAAAGGGAAAATAAACAGGATAATAATGGCAAAGCAACTTAGTGTTTAATTAAGGAAAAAATGACTGCACTGATATTTAGCAGCAAGACTGTGAAGCAGCTTTCAACTTTTTCTTCTGTGTCTTTCTGATACAGTTTTCCTTTTCCTTTTCCTTTTCTCTCTTTTCCTTTCTGTTCTTTCCTTTCCTTTTTCCTTTTCTCTTTTTTCTTTGCTGCTGAACTTTTTAAAAGAGGTCTCTAATTGAAGAGAGATGGAAGCCAGGCCTGCCAAAGGATGGAAATCCATAATATGGATGCCAGTGAACTTATTATGAACCATAATGTCCCCAATGACAAAGGAATCAAAGAGAGAACCACCGTACCTAGCAGTACAGTACAACACGATGAACTGACTGAATGCAGTATTAGATTTCATAGGAGCAGTCTCTAATTAGACGACTAAGCGACGATGCATCGGCTGCTTCTTATCATTGCATTTTCCATCTAGATCAGTTACAGCCATTTGATTCCTTAATTGTTTTTTCAAGTCTTCCAGATATTTCTTAGGTTAGCTACAATGTAACTTTTTCAGGGAATAGTTTAAGCTTTATTCATTCATGCAATACTAAAGAGAAAGAAATACTGCATTTTTGTGCTGGCTTGAACAATGATGAACAATAATGAAGGACAAATGAATCCTGAAGGAAGATTTTTTTAAATGTTTTGTTTCTTCTTACTAACGGAGATTTTTTTGTACCAGCTTTACCAGTTTTCAGCCATTTATTAATGTGGGAATTTATCTTACTAAAGCAATAGTTGAAGGGAAGGTGCATATTATCACGGATGCAATTTATGTTGTGTGCCAGTCTGGTCCAAAACATCCAGTTTCTTAACATGAGCTCCAGTTTATGACTAAATGTTCACTGACTCAAAGGATTAGATTACACCTACAGTATATCCGAGTAGTCTAACATATAAATACTCCATGTCAAATACCAATCTGTAACGGTGTTAGGAGACAGCGGCTGTACAAAGGTATAGTTGCTACGTGATTTCTAACTGCTTCAGTTGCAAATGAACGAGATACTGCCTGTTTGCAAAATTATAACCTCACACGCAGAAAAACCCTATGAACCAATAGTAGCTTAGAGGCAATAAGGCAAATGCCGACGTTTGCAAAATTAAGAAATCCGAGTAGTAGACTTCTGACCAAATTGAAGAATTTAACACTTCTATACCTTATTTATTGATTTAGATTTCCTTTTGTAAATGGCAATCTTTAACAAGTAGCTAAACCAGTATATGTGCTTTTCAACCAGTATTGTCACAGCATGAAAGTCAGTCAGTTTCAAGACTGTTACGAGGTGTAATCTAATGTATAAACCGATTAGATGCCCCCAGAAAACTACAGTCGCTAAATAACCAATAAACAATAACCTCCATCAAATGCTATACCAATGTACCAGTGTTAGTAGCTGCTCCCTGTACTATGTGAACATCCTTACTCTATGTACACAGATGTAATTAAAATTGTAATCCTAACAAACAAAAGAAATGTAGTTCAGCTTTTCAATGTTTCATGTTTGCTGTGCTTTTCTGAATTTTTATGTTGCATTCAAAGACTGTTGTCTTGTTCTTCTTGTGGTGTTTGGATTCTTGTGGTGTGTGCTTATAGACACAGGGTAGAATTAGAGACAATATTGGATGTACAATTCCTCAGGAGATTACAGTAGTATATTCTATTCCTCACCGGTAATAAGGTTCTTCCTAGTAATAATTAAGAGATCGAAACTCCAAACAAATACTCATTATGAACAGATACACACTGAAATCGTAATATTTTCAAAACAAGGGATAATTTCTGTAACAGTTTATTATAGAATACCAATGTATAGCTTAGAAATAAAACTTTGAATATTTCAAGATTATAGATAAGTCTAATTTTTAAACGCTGTAAATATAGCTTTTATTCAATCATCTCTCAGATGTTGTTATTAACTCGCTCTGTGTTGTTGCAAAACTTTTTTGGTGCGGACAAGTTTCCAAAACTATTGCTACGTTGTGTGCTTTAAACAAAATAACAATGGGCTGATGCTCCATCGGCCTCGTGCTAGGAAAAAAAAAAAAAAACTGTGTATCTATCATTAGCTATATGGGACTATATTGTAGATTGTGTTTTCTCAGTAGAGAAGTGACTGTAGTGTGATTCTAGGTAAATCATCATTAGCAATTCATTCAGATGGTCAATAACTTGAAATTTATAGCTGTGATAGGAGTTCAGAAATTGGCACATCCCTTTTGAAAAATGTCAAAAAAAAAAAAATACAACTCCTGGGAAAAAGGTGCTGATTCTATAAGATTATTTATATATGTAAGAGTGCAAAAAAAAAAAGTTTATTTTCCAGAAAGTTTGTGCAGGGTTTAAGTTGCTACTGTTCAAGTACACTATATATATATAAATATATAATATAAATATTGTTTTTGCTGTATCACATTAAAGAACTTGGGCTTCAGGGTCAAAAGCCAATCGACTAAAAGTATACAAAAACACACAAAAAAATGGAGATGTGTTAAAGGCACACGGTGCAAAGTTTAGTTTTCATTTTCCATAATTTTTTGGAGCTGCAAAAGAACAAGTATCTCAAGACTGTAAAAGCATTACCTGAAACTTAGCTAAAAGAACTGCACGGGCTTTATAATGTTGTTCATCTTAAACCTTGCTGGAGAAGAGTTCTTTCAAGACCACTTACTTAATGTGAAGTGTTGGGAAAATTTCAAAGGGTGTATGTTTTAGCCATAACGATTTAATTTCTATTTTTGCTTCATTTTTTAATTTTTTCTTATTTAAAGCAATATGATTGTGTAACTCCCAGAAGTTACACATTTGTTTCAATCAGATCAGATTGTTGTATTTATTCCACTATTTTGCATTTAAATGATAACATAAAAAGATATAAAAAATTAAAACTGCTATTTTTCTTATAGAAGAGAAAATGGGTGTTGGTGATTGTATTTTAATTATTTAAGCGTCTCTGTTTACCTGCCTAGGAAAACATTTTATGGCAGTCTTATCGTGCAAAGATCGCAAAAGGACAAAAAAAATTAAACTGCTTATAATAATCCAGGAGTTGCGTAATAGCCAGTAGTTAAAAACCGAAACAAAACAACAAATAAAAACAAACATGTCTATAGCTGTAGATGGGCTTCACATCTGTATAGCAATCAACTGTATATTTTTGTGATGTGTATCATACCGTGTGCTCCAACCAATGTCCATTTGTGTAAATGTATTTATTTTATATTGTATATATTGTTAAATGCAAAAAGGAGATATGATTCTGTAACTCCAATCAGTTCAGATGTGTAACTCAAATTATTATGCCTTTCAGGATGATGGTAGAGCAATATTAAACAAGCTTCCACTTTTGATTGCTTTTATTTTATTTTTTGTGTTGTGGGGGTTTTTTGGTTTTATTTTCTTTTTCGGAGAGGGAAACGGAGCAGTTAGCATTACCTTGTGTTGGTTCCATTCAGAGGGGAGCCGGCGTTAACACTTCCCCCTTAAAGTACAATATGAGTGTAAATAAATGCTATATAAAGCCTTGTCAGAATGAATTCCAGTGTGGTACGAGACATTTTGCATACTCTTAAATATGCAAAATGTCTCATAGCACATTAGAATTCAGGCTGACAGGCCTTTATATAGCTCTTATTTAATCTTAAAGCATCTTCACATCAACCTGCATTACTCAAAATCATTGCCTCTCTGTCAATGTCATGAAAGAAAACTTTCCCACTATTTTAAGATCACTTTACTATCATCTAGAAGTAGTTATTTGCTTTCTCCATCGGCAACCGAGTCTGTCACTCATTTCCTACTGCAGGAGTCTCCTTTTTATGTGTTCTGGGTAAAAAAACGGAGTATGGTTTGATCCAGCTTTTCTGAATGGAAGTAAATAGCCACCGCAGCAATAATATAGATTGGCGTTAATGAAGAGCACTGATAAGCCGTCGAGATGCGGGGGGTTAAGCAGCAGGGCCGCAGACCGGCAGTAAGCGGCCTCTCAGCCTTTCACCTGGAAAGGCTGCAGCCCCGTCGCTCGGGGTCAGCCCCTCTTTCCTCTGCACCCTTCTGGAACCGTCACAGAAGTGCTAATGTGTGCTTTTCTTGCTTTTTAGCCTATCTTGATAGTGTTCTGTCGTCGTGTTTGCCAACGTGTTTCTCACCTTCGCCGCTGGCCGTTCTCTGGAGGTTCTGGCCGATGGCACAAAGGCTACCGGGCGGAGCGGTGCTGCTCGGGGACGGGAGGTGTTCCAGCCGAGCCACCGGGGCAGCGCCCGGGGCTTTCCGCGCTTCGCGGCCTGTCCCTGGCGACGGGCCTCGAGATGGGAGGGCACCTCTTCCCCGCCACCGGTAGCTCCTGTATTTTCTCCGTCCGAGCAAATTAGGGTTTTTTGAGTAGAAGGAGCAGCAGAACAATAGAAAGATGGATCCTTCGTGGACTCCTCAAAGGAGGTCAGAGTTGGTTTTTAGCGTTGACGCTGCCGCGTACGCGGCACGCATACATACACGCATACGTACGCACGCGCAGAACTGGTTTTTGCCCCTTTTTTAGTGTTCTGGTTTTGAATTATTGCAAAGTACCTCTTCAAAGGAAAACGTGGTGCCATGCCATAACTTAAAAGCGAGCAAAGTAGTGTTACACATTTTCACACACAAAGGGGAAATAAAATGCAGACAGCGGTGCTCCTAGTCTTCCTCAACATGCGATTGCGTCCAATCCTCGGTTAAAGTTTTCACATACAATTAAAAAATCGTAATTAATATTTCTGTACCACTTTTCGTGAGAGGATCGTGAAGCACCATATGATCATGAGCTTAGCATCACAGACGGGAAAACACAGGGAGCACTGAGATGAAGCCACTTCTAGGGATGCAACTGCAGAGTTGTTTTGGTCTTTGTCTTTCTCCGTCTTCTCCCTACACTGTCTCTGCAGTAAAGCCAGGACGGGCACAGAAATCCATCGGAAACGTTTCAGTAGGCAGAAATGTTTCAGGAGGCATCTGTGTTAGGAGGACAGGCTCTCTAAACTATGAAGATAGCTACGAAATCTTTAAAGGAAGCAAAAAAAACCAACAAAAAGGGCTTGGGGCGGTGACGTTCGTAGCTCGACCCGCACGCCCTGTTACCGCTCCGAACCGCTACGGCCCCAGCCCGTGGCGGCAGCAGCACCGCTTGGCTGGCACAAGGGGATGGCAAACCCAGAGAGTCTTCCCGTTGTGGACGTGGCTCAGCTGAGCGAAACTGGGTCTTGACTGACATGGTTTCCCTCACCCTTCCCCTCCCGTGCTCCCCCCTCCCCAGCAAAAGAAGCCACCCCAGTAAGAGCGCGGTTGTGCCGCGCCAGGTGCTTGTGTGACAGCCTCCTACCCCTGCCGCCGCGCCAGCCTGGCCGCGGAGCGCTCCGCTCCTCCCACGCTGTTACGCTGGCACCCGCGCCCGCTCGCAAGCTGGCCGATGCCGTC